ACTATCGTTCATTGCGCGGAGAGGTTATTAATTTTCAAAGTACTGCTAGTGGTGGAACAATTAATTCCAATAGGATGAAGACGTGATGACGGTCGATTAAACATTAATTGTTTTAGATTAAAATTCCTTTTTCCATTTCCCATGTATAATACATCGCTGATAAATGTCCTGTGTTCTTGAACCCACATAGGGATTTTGAAATTTGCCTGAACTTTGAAACACTCTGTATCTCTGTTATTTTATTAATTTTTGACAGATTATTCGTCTTCTTAAATTTTACACATTTTTTCCTTGTGTAAAGCACGCTACGTTTTTCACTTATTTTACCGAATATAATTATCGATTCCTCGTTTACATCCCTAATTAGACTACGGGGGCCGTCCAATGCCGATCTGCCCCCTCCATACTTAAAATTAACGAAAGTAATCAGACAGATAAACATTTTTATAATTGCAAAATGACCGGTCCAAATGAACACAGTTCGATTATATTATGCCACCACTGCACTCGTATATAATTCCGAGATTCTTTAATTGGTGCCACAAAAGTAAATTTTATGCACCGAACAATCTGCGTATCTACATACAGTATCCTTGTACACGACGCTGAGCTTACGAATAACGTTTAAATTTGCATATAAATATCGTCTATAGTGTAAGAAATTCTCTTAATTATTTAATTAGCTAGAGTCGTATCGGGGACAAAAATACCATCTTCAAGTTTTAGCAATTCGAGATAAAAGCATAGTGGAGTGCGGCAAATAGGGATACAGAAACACAGGGTTCCTCAGATTAAGGAATGTACAGATAGAGAGATTTCGAGATCTCGGGATGTAGAAATACAGGGTTGTAGAAAACTAGGATGTGAGGTCCTCGAGATTTAGGAATATAGAGTTACAGGATTCTCGAGATTTATGGACAAAAAAATGTAGAAGTTTCGAAAATTAACAAGAAAATTATGTAAATTTAAAACTAGCTCGTGAATTATGGGCCACCCAGTACCTACGGCAAAGTGGTCGACAGTAGCCGATGGAGGGTCGATCGAGTCCATCGCTAGCCAGAGATAATAAGCAAACGTGTATGCTTTGTAACCTAACCGCCATCTTCCGAGCACCGTTCCTCCATACTCGGGATCATTATTATAATTACCGAAAGCTATTCGCGTGTATCCAGCAGTACGGGCCATCGGCCATTACGTGGACGCGGCGTTTACCATGCTGTGGCCGGTCGTTTCACTCCCCTTTTTTTTCTCCTCTCCTCTTTCACGGCGCAGCCCCGCTTTTCTTTCCCTCGGCGAGTTTTACGACGGTTTACCGAGCGATGCGTGGCAAGTTATTGCCACCGATTTTAGCGTCGCTCGTGACTACGCGGAGAGTCCCGAGGGAATCCCAGTTGGCCCTAGGTCGTCGAGATCTCGCGGGAATCGAGGCAGTTTTCTCGCCGCGTGGCTTCAGCCTCGTGCCTCTCCTCTCGCGTGGATCTCGATGCCGATGCCTCGTAAAAGTCGAATAAATTATCCGTCGGGATCGTGGATTTTTATTCAACAGCCCCGACGCAGCGAGACGGAGGTCCCGGTGGTCGTGCTTCGGCTCCGGATGACTAATTACACCTGACCCTGGTGTCGATGATGCGCCAGGTACGACCGTAAAAAGGTTCGTTACTCGGCTAATAATAACGTGAAAACGGCGAATAATGGTAGACTTTTGAAGCTTTCATAGCCACCTTCACAGTTTCTGCCGTTTCGCTTCTAGTAAGCGACTATTTTAACTATAATGGCTGCTACCATAATCGCAACTTGTATCGCGAAGGTTAAGACTCGCGTACAACCTATTTACATTAGCCGTCGGAAGGGTTATTAACTATCACATTTTAGCTTACGTGTTCCAAAGATTATCGTGCTACCGACGTAAAGATCGTTAACGATCTTTCCCTACACTTTCGACTTCTTGAAACAAATAGTTTACGAGCTACAAAATGATCTCCAACAGGAAATCAAAGAAAAATTCCGCTGTAAATGGTTAAAGGGAAAAAGGTATTCCTCGATTTACACGTATATTGGCTACAAAATCACTGGGTGCAGCAGTCAGTTAAGAAAAGTGAATTGCTAGAGCTCATCTCGCGAGCTAACCTACCACAAGTAAATGCCCACCCTCTCGATACCCATTAAAAGACTTACAGTCCCAAAATAGATAAGGAAACATGCAATAAAAAAGTACCCAACAGATTTCAGGGTTGTTCGACAAAATAAACTCGCAAACGACGCACTTCCTCCAACTACCTGACCGTCGTCCACCGAAAGGATGCTTTTTTGAATCGTATCTGCTCGGGGTGTACGCAGTTCCGTGTCTTTGAAGTCAGGTATAAGGGTACCTGCGAATAATTATCCTTTGACAGAGTATTTTTTATTAACCCCTCGTAAAGCATTCCAACGGTCGCAGGATATTTATAACCGATTTAAAGACGGTTTCTTTAGCGAGATTACCGTTTGCGAACCGTGTCTCTCTCGTGGAAGCACAGTTTGGAAGGAAATCGCTTTAAATCGTCAGCCGTCGAATTCGTTGGATCAGGATTTCAATTCTGAGGCAAAGTTCGGCAACAATATTCTCTCTTGTTCGAAGGCAAGGGATATCCAAACGCTATATACTCGCGAAACGATCGTCAGAAAGCGAACGGATGGTGTGGTGCGCGCGCCACAGATGGCAGCAGCTAACAAGCTATCCTGGGATGAAGTTCAATAATCCAACTTCGGCAAATTCACCACGGGACTAACGAGCGAGATAAGGGGAAACGACTGAACGTCTCCGTGTCGTTCTGGGGGAAAATCAAATGGCAGCGACGCGAATTAGGAAAAAGTTGGTGTAAAACGTGGAATTAAGATGTTCCTAAGTTATGGAACGAACTGGATAAGACTATCCGAGGTAGGAAATGAACGCCGTGGGTATTTGGTGGAAGATAATGCGACGATTCGAGCATTTAATTAGCGGGGAGACACTTTCCTGGCATATATTTACGGGCAGACGTCCCAGATACGCTGTAACCTAACAGGCATTCTAATCTCGTGGAATTTTATCTCAGATGTAACGACCCGTCGTTTGTCAGCGCGCTCTCAGCGCCGCCAAATCCCTTTTTCATCTAAATTCCTCGAGAAACCAATAAATTGTAACGTTATCCGGGCTCGAGCGGGCTAGTGCCTCTTCAAAAACACGAATGAACGTCTCGTATTTTTTTGGTACACTGCAGTACGCTAACAATACCGATCGAAAATAATAGTAATTAACTAAAAGTTATTCGGACCTTGCTGAAAACCGGTGATCTAACAACGTTTCTCGAATGTTCACAGATGGGACGAGCTAAAAGAAAGAAAACAAGGACGAGCTGTGAGCGGAAGTGTCACTCGGGGAAGCCCTCTGTTCTTCGGGATCTCTCTGGCAGACAAACGAACGGGGTCGAGAAGGTGTCATCGTAGCAACGACCCGTTCGAACGGGCAGAACTGGGACGGCGAAGGAAGACTTCGCGAGGAAGACTGGACGACGCGATGTTTTTCGCGAGACGAAACATCGTAAAACGCGGAGACACCGGGAGCGCGAGGTGTTTCGAGATGGCAGCCGGCTGGTGGCGCCAGGCTACGCCACGCTCTGCCCAGGGGTAGCGCGAAAGCTCTCGGTCTATACGACGCTCGCGAACAGTGGAGGGGATGCCCCGTACGGACACGATATCGCACACAAACGCGCGACGGCGAAATCAAATCGACGTCCACACACTCGTCGCGTAGGAAGGGCGAAACTACCGCGAACCGGCCGTCGAGAGGAAGAAGGAGAGGATGGTCGGGATACGCGGCTGATGGCGCGAGAGAAAACGGGAACGAACGAGGACGAACAATGGAGAGGGGTTGGTTGACCCTGCCGGGTCAAGCGAGA